ACATCAAATGTAGTATTTAAATTCTGCACCTTTAATTCAACATACCCCTTAAGTATCAAGTATTCCATAAAAACACTTTGCCTGTACATATTATACCTAAAAGCAAGTTAGTAGAGTTTGATTTGAGACCAAATCAACTATTAATTCTTCTTTGCTAAATAGAACAGTCTTGAACATAAATCATTCTGTCTATAGATAACACCATGCTGTCCAATGCTGACTTGGCCATTTTGAATCCCATTTTAGGAGTGTAAATGGGTCCAACTCCATCTCTGTGACAGTGATCATGAAGTCCTTGCAAGGCTTGTGTCATCAATCTAAAAACCTTGGCAGTTTTGAACAGATCAATGTACACACTATAGAAACTAATATTTATATTTTAAAGCTTTAATATGAGAATGACCATGAAGATTTAATTTTTTTAGAATATACCAAAATATTTTGAAAGCCAGATTTATTAGAGACTCAGCTGTACATGAGCAAGACTAGCTGGTTTTCCTGTTACAAATGGAGATGCCTTCTCTGCAGATAAAAGTTTCAGATGGCTGGGAAATCAAATGCTCAGGGCCTCCTTCTTAGAGCTCCTGTAAATAAACACTGTCGCCAGCTCACTTTAAATGGATTAAAAACACATGCTCAAGTTGTCCCTAAAACACAAAGGACTTATTTTTAAAGGATAATATATTCAGCAAAATGCATTTTAAATTAGACAGAGCCCTCCTGACACTGGAACAGTCCTGGGATTTTTGAAATATTGGAACCACAACTGGGTTTGCAGACTCAACACCCAAAGCTTCAGAAAACAAACGCATGAATTGATGATGTTCGTGAGACAAAATGAAACAAGTCTCCTAAAGAGTACGCTGGAGTCTCCTGCACCAGGGTATCCGCATTGGCTCGTAAGTTCTCACACACCTATTTTTTTCTAGTGTAGGGACAGAGATTTGATTGGTTTAAAATGGTAAAATTGTCATATTTATAAGCATAAATTGTTGATACCATTGACCTTTGTTTGATGCAGTGAACAAAGAACGGCAGACGGACCCACAGACAGAAACATTTATTATTATTTACCTCACATTCCCACAGGCAGAAACATTTATTATTATTTACCTTACATTCCCACAGACTTTTGCTGTGTGTGTGTGGGACACTCGGTACTTATTTTCATCCCATATGTAACTTTTTGAGATAATATTATATAATATAGAACATATTTCCTAAGACACAAAATAGTTTAAAACATCGATTTGTCCAGAATAATTGTTAAGGGTTTAAGACTGACCAAATCAATGATCAGGACTATGAGTTTAGCAATAACACAGAACTTTTCGAAGAGACGGGACTGATTAATATTAGAGACAGGGATATCTCAAAGGAAGTAGCTGCAGCTGGGATCCAAAAAGAATATTCCAGATAGTGCACTGTGCACCTTTCTCAGTGCTGTCCTCTGCCTCCCCCTCAAAGCCCTGCTGCACAGCAAGTGCATGTCCTGAACATCCTTACCCAGTCTGCTCAACGTCTCCCTGGGAAGAGGAGGAAGACTAGACCCATTATGAATTTTTAATGAAATTACAGCAAAGCAAATTTCAATTATCACACCAAGTGCTAATGATCGCTTCGCATATTCAACTTTATTGGCTTGCCCGCCCTCTCACCAGCTCCTTAATTCTAATAATTTGACATAATATGAAGGTTTCATATGTCTTTATTAATGATATATACTTAGAGATTTATTTTACTCACCGGCGAGAATACATTAGCACATTATCTCTGCCTGCAAACATGAAATTAACGTGCAGTTCCTTCACTGGAAAAAAATGATGAGAACCTGCTTTTCATTTCTGTCCATTCCATCAGGGAAGAGGAGGAACAGAGAGGCTGTAGGTGCAGTGGACAAAGAAAGGCAGACAGACCCACAGACAGAAACTTTTATTATTATTTACCTTACATTCCCACAGACTTTTGTTTTTCCTTACCACAAATAGGGGACCACAGCCCCTGTGTTCTGATGCAATACCCCATCAGCAAGTCAGGACTCATGCAATAAGACGTAACTGATTCTATGCTCTTTACATGAATGTTGAACTGGAAAGTTCCTCCAAAGATTTATATTTTTATATTCCAGTATTTGTTTTAAGTTCTAAAATTTCCATTTACTAGATTTTATATTTTCCCCTCTCTTACAAGATTTATTTTTTTATTTATCTATTTATTTATTTATTTAGTGGTGTTATAGATTGAACCCAGGCCTTATCATGTGCCAGGCACAACTCTTATCAACAAACTTCATCAACAGTTATTAAGGTTATATTTCTTTGTAAATTTTCTAATACAATCCTCTCTACAACACTGTGTCCCAGTTCAAGCCTCACGACATGGTCAGTGCTCCTTTGGTTAATTCCCTTATCCTAAGGTACACACTCCCTCATGCTCCCCCTGCCCAGTGATGCTTTTCATATATGTCATATAGACCTTGGGCATCGTCTGTCATGGGAGCATACCCTAGGCTTTCTTCCTCTAATCAGCATAACTCGATTCTTGAAGTCAAACATGTCACTGGCAAGTTTTGGCCGTCTTGTGATGTTTGGCTTTGTTCTTTGGAGGGTGGTTTGGGAAAGTGACTAGGGGGATTTTACAGTTTCTGGAGTGAAGAACAATTGGATGATTTTAAACCACTTTGTTCCACTGAAATAATTCAGAAATAAATAGAAAAGAACTAAATATTTTAATAAAATATAAATTAAATGAAGATTGCATATTGGATCATGGCTACATTTCAAGTAGTAAAAGTCACCGACACTTTGGAAAATAGTTTGGCAGCTCCTTGGCAAACTAAACATAGAGGTACCACAAAGCATATCATTTTTAACCCCGAGAATTAGACTAGAAATAAAATCTAAGGCATGCTACAGCCTTCAGAACTCAATATCCAGTGTTATTCACTATAGACAAAATGCCTTCCATCATATACACATCTATGGCTCCACCCCACCACAGTGTTCTTGATAACAATGAGAGGACTTCTATGTATTCCATATGTGTTTGTGGATAGGCCTGGTTCTCTTAATACAAAGTTAAGGACAGAACAAAACTCTAGAAATGGGAAATGGATTATTCACAGAGAGCAGATGGGGGCAGGGGTGAGAGGAAGTGGATATGGCTAGAGAGTAACACGAGAAGACCCCACGGAATCACGCACTAGAAGTCTTGACTGTGTCAGCGTCAACCCCTTAGCTGCAGTGTGACACTACAGGTCACTGGGTCCAACCCTGAGAGACAGACTGAGTCAGTGGACATGCTGGAGGTCTTGACTATGTCAGCGTCAACCCCCTAGCTGTGGTGTGACACTACAGCTCACCAGGTCCTACCCTGAGAGAAAGGCTGGGTCAGAAGCATGATGCCTGTTAATTAGTATTCACAGCTGCACACAAACCTAAATGGATCCCCAAACAGGAAGTTTAAGCGGTAAATGAGCATGAAAGTTAGTTTTACTTGCAGAATTGCTAACCTTTGTAATTTTAAATTTTATGGCCGGGCTGGAGAGATGGCTCAGTGGTTAAGAGTAGTTACCATTATTACAGAGGAGGTGAGTTCATTTCCCAGCATCCATATTGGTTACATCACAACCAGCAGGAACTGAAGCTCAGGAAGAATCTGGCACCATCTCCGGCCTCTGCAGGCATCTATACTCCCATACACATTTCCACACATATACACTTAATTAGAGATCAAGGTGTTGACAGTAGCAGATTTGTCATGACCATGGAGGAATAAATTTATTGACACCACAGGGTTAGATTTTGTTAGTGTGGAGAGAAACTCAGTAGTATGAACCATGTACCTTAGAATCAAAAAATTACTGCACAAAATTATGACAATAAAAGAAGGGTTTTAAACTGGAGAATTATACACTTGGGAAAACTAGAAACGTATATATTTGAGTTACAGTTTACTTGAGGGAATATTTTTATTTTTTAATCCAAATTATAAATAAATGCCATGAAATTCTAAAAGACATTTAAAATATGATTTAATATGGAGTTTAAAAGGGAATGTGAATGCATTTACATATAAAATTTCAATAAATTTGTAGAAGCCCGTATTTCTGTTATTTAGCAAACTTGCCTGAGAGGGTCACTGTTTTTAATAAATGGGACACTATGTGCAAATAATTTAATACATAAATATTCTAGCCACTCATTAGGTGCTCAATTATTTCAATATTGAATGAAAACTTAAAAACGGATTAAAATATCAATGTTTTGAGCTAAAACCACTACTATTAAAATTCTTATTATTTTTTTCAAACTAAGTCATTTTATAATCAATTAAAAACTTAGTTTAAAAGGGAAATTATGAGCAGGGACAGGCAGAGCATTGAAATCCTGTCAACACAAAAACAACAGGATAGGCCTTTATTGCATTCATTAGGATATGCATAGGGCTTCCAGCAAGTTCCAACCTTCAAAACACTGTTTTTCAAAAAAACTATTATTTAGAAATGAGAATACAAAACTGCTCAAATGAAAACCACTAGCACTACAAACACAAGGTCGTGTGAAACAGTGAATTGTGTGCAGAGCTTTGGCATCGTTTTTCACGCTCATGTATGACTAAGGGGTGAGGTTCCTGGGGGGGTCTCTGACAAATTAAAACAGTTGTTTTTGAAAACATTCTGGATTACAGTTTCCTCATTTCTTCTTTTATTGAACAAGTAATACATAACAGGCTCTCATTTTACCCGAGCCATGATCACGTTCAGCTTTTCATCAGAGGCTTTGGACTGGCCCCCTAGGAAATGCTTTCAAACTTCTTTCATTGTACCCTTGCCCACTTAGCTACTCATTTCTTTCCTTGATTCAAGAAGTGCTTTGGGCTTAAATAGACTTATTACACAATTTGGGTTGTGAATAGAGTCTGACCTTTAAAACAAAATGCTTTTAACCTTTCTAGAATGGTGCTGGAGATTCCAGAGCCTCAAGTTGCACTTGAATGCACTCCCGTGTCCCCGTAGGTCTGTCTGCAAGGTAGACCACAACCCAGCAAGGAGGAGAGCTGGAGGAAGGGTTGCTTTGGAAGGTCAGTATTGGGTATAGCTAAGACTGAGTCAATCTCACAGAGAACACTTTTGGTCCTCAGCTGTGTGGGTTACTCAAAAGTCCGTACTGGTTTCCTTGCAGGCTTGGGTGGCCTCTTTCAGCCGGGCAGTCAGGGAACACTATTTCCTTATCCCTGATGTCATTTTCAGACTTGGGACTCAAAACCACAGCACTCAATACAGAACATATCATGGAAGAAATGTGTTTTCTACCTTGTCCATGAAGCTAAAAGCATATCCATGAAGTGTTTAGGGTCAACTGACCTAAGTGAGTCACTCTCACCTACATCTACCAGCTATCAGGGAAGGCACAGGCAACATAGATCAATGAACAGTCAACAGACACCACTGCTCTGCCAAGGAGATGCAAGCAGGGATGAAAAGGACCTCAAATCGATTCTGTGTTTGTGGACATCACTGCTTGCTCTTCTTTAAGAATGTTTCCATTTACATACTCAACAGAGTCTAAGAAAACCAATTATGGAAGCAAGAACCAACGCCTCTGAGAACATCACACTTAGGCACTTCCCATCCAACTAAGATTGACAGGTGAGTGTAACTATTACTTGTCCCCATTTCTTTCTGGTTCATGGATACAGGGGAGTGCAGCACCTCTCTTGGGGACTCTGAGCCTCTGGATGTTGAGAGTCAATCATAAAAGCCAACTTAATTGCATGTCAGAGTTATAGTCTAACCTTGAACTGAGTGCAGCTATGGGAAGGTTTTAAAATCAGCCTCATATAAAATGGCTAGGGGTTGGAGGGTTCTATTCCAGTGATTCTCATCTGGAGGTTATCTTGTCCTTGGAGGTCAGGAGAGCATTGAGCATTGTCTTGTGTTACTCTCTACCTTAGTCTACCTCTTAGAACCTAGAGTTTGTGGGCTTGAGGGTAGGCTTGTACTCATCAAGCCCCAGTGACAATCGTCTCTTTTCCCAAACTAGTGCTGACTTTATAAGTAAGTGCTGATATTTGAACTCAGATCCCCATGGTTGTGCAGGAAGCACTCTTAACCACTGGGTTTTCTCTCTAGTCTTCACCTAGCTCTTTATGTACTGCACGGAAGCAGTTTACTGGCTGAGCATCTCCCAGATCCAAAGCTTTCTTCTCTTACAAGCTATCACTACACATATGACTACCAAATGGTATCCTGTATTCATGGGGATTTTACTCAGTGCTCTGGGTTATTTGAAGAAGTCCTCTGAAACACAGGATATGCCCTCAGCTGCAGTCACCTGAGCACATTCACTAGGTTCCCTTTTAAAGGGGCCCTGTCCATCTCCCATCTCTTTTTCCTCTCTCCCTCCCTCTCTCTCACCCCCTCTCTTCTGTCCCCAGAGCATAGTCACCCCTCTCCATTCCCCCTCTTCCCGTACACTTTTCCTGAATAAAAAATCCAATCTGTAGCAGGCAATAACTGCAACAATAACTTCAAAATCTGACATTTGGATTTTATCCTTGCTCTGAAATCCATCTTACCTGCTTGTAGCTAATATTTAACAAAGAATCTGGCTTGCATGGTGTCATTTACCAATGCTGTTGATTTCTTTTACCTCCTGCTAGCACTAATGACTTTTCCCCAGGCTTGAAATCTGACATATTTTTATTTTGTTTTGGTTCTAGGCCAAGGTAATAAAAGAGAAGGGCTCCACAATGTGGCATCTTCCAGAATTCCTCTGCCTGGTAATTTCTGTGCTTGTCTTCCTACAGCTCAATCAAGTAGACATACCTGCTCAGTTCTTATTCCTTGCAAGGCAGAGTGCATCGTTGCAGAAGTTTACCATGGTTCTCTAGCAGTTTTCTTACTCTCCTTTGATTTGCATTTTTAAAGTAACCTGGCAGTACCTTATTGCCTATTTTAAAAGCCTGATGACATGGGAATTTACATTTCCTACCTTCATGCAGGTATCATTTTCCCAAACATAAGATTTTGAAATGATAGCTTGTGGGCAAAAGACATTGTATTAGAAGGTGTCTTATACATCTTGTGCAAACATGGTGGGTCCTGAATGCCAGAGCAGAGGCCCAGAACCCACCCTCTGATTCCCGAACTTCCTGACTATTCTTCAAAGGCACTGTTGCTGGCCTTTCTCTGCCAGAATGACTGTCATTGCACTGATATTGTGGGATAATTATTCATACAGACATCCCAATGTGTCAGTAATGCCACCTTGAATTAAAGTATTGAGCCAGTGATTGGCTGGCCAGAATTAACCATAGAGTCCATGGAGGACAGAGGAGGACTGCTAGAAATGATGAGAAGAAGGGATTTCCAGGGTGAAGATATTTTGAAAAACATGTAGAGAGAGGATGAGCTAATAAACTCTCTACTATCCTTGGAATCATCAGATCTTTATCTAAATTTCAACTCCTGTGTTGTTTTTATTCTGTAACAATTTAGATATTCATTAAAGAAAATATAGGATAAAAGGGTAGATTATTGAATCTGCTTTCAAACTGAAATGGCAACTACTAATCTCAAATATTTTACGTTGGTATGAATTTTGTATATTCATGCAAATTTAAGCTTATTTTTAATACACTGTATTATATGTTTCTATTTCTTGTTAAATGTACCTATCAGGCTCATTTTAAAAATGTAGGATAAAGTTCTAGTCCTTGAAAGCTATTTAGGATAATAAGGAAATGCAGGGTAATAGTTAGTTATCTATAACAATCAAACTTACAGTCATGTTAAGTATATTTTCAAGGTCAATGAGAGACATATTTTAAATAGATAGATGGTCTTCACATACTTCAGAGACCTATGGAATATGGCATTTTAATGATTTAATGGTATAGGACTTTTCATGACTGTGAGACACATCTGCTGCAGACAGCATCAATTTACTCCAAAAGATGATGATTGGCATCACAAAACCTCTATATAGAATTGCTTTAATTTTTGACAGAGTTAGTCACTGGGCAAAGAAACTGCCTTTGCCTTGACTGCAGACAGCATGCTGTCCAAATTGGACAAGTAGGACCCAAAAAAGGAGATTGTAGAACGTTACCAAGACAAATCAGGACAGGACTTCAAAATTCTTGTTTCACAGAAAGGTCTGTCAGATATTTTAGACCCGCAGGCCAAAGACAGATGCCCCAGTGTTGCAGTGGAACCCTGGGTTGACGGTCTAAACAGCCAGATATCTCTGTCATTTCTTAATTTTGGAAGTTGCTTGCTTTTTACCTCGTAATATTATATCTTTTTTGAGTCTCTGATGGGGTTGAAGATTAGATAACTATAGTTCCAGTTTTTCTTAGTTATAATATAAAGTAAATTAGGTACAAAAATATTGACTCATGAGGTTAGCATAGATAATATAGTATTTTCCTTGAACTTGTCAAATACTAATGGACTGGACATTGTGAATGCATTTCTTACTTGGTATTTGTTCTTTTATGTTTTGTTTTGTTTTTTGTTTTGTTTTTCGAGACAGGGTTTCTCTGTGGCTTTGGAGGCTGTCCTGGAACTCGCTCGGTAGACCAGGCTGTTCTCGAACTCACAGTGATCCGCCTGCCTCTGCCTCCCAAGTGCTGGGATTAAAGGTGTGCGCCACCAACGCCCGGCGGTATTTGTTCTTATTGTATACAGTTTTACTATGTTAGAGTTAAAGCCTTTCCTTCTTAGAGACAGGAATTGGGAAATGCTGCAAGAGAATTGTTTGTGCAGCCATTCTATCCTGCCAATAATACCACCATGAATCAAAGGATGGAGCCAGATTCATTGACCAGGATTAGCGATAGTGTTCTTGGAGGACTGGGGAGGTCTTCTAGAGAAGACAGGAAGAGAGAAGAGAAGATTTACGAGGTATTTTGAGGGGAGGTGGTTTGAGGAAAAATATGGAGAGAGGGTCAGTCAATGGACTCTCCACTGTCCTTGGATTTATAAGGTTTTCCCTCAACTTCTGACTCGAGTTTTTATTATTCTGGAACAATTTAGATACTCATTACAGGCTGAGGCTTCTCACTCTGAGATGGAGGCATTGGGAAAGTATTTGCTGTGTCTATAAACAAGATATATCCCCTCAATCCGCAGTCATCAGGCATGTCCTTGGAGAGAGGGCAGATGCTGAGCAAGGCTGCAAGTTGTGGATTTGAGTGCCCCTGTGATGCCTCAAGCTCCTAGGCACGAGGTCAGGGTTCAGAAGGCCTCATTTCTGTCTGCCAGAGGAGCTCTCTGTGAGACATTGTGTCATCAAGGGGCAGAAGGCTTGAAGTTCCCTTTCCCCATGTCTTTCTATTGTAAATATTCTATGAAGGGCTTCTAACGTGAAAGCCAAAGTTTCCCCCATATTTTCCATCCATGGAGTTGCCAAAGCATTTGTTCACTAGTTGTACAGTGAGTTAATAAGGAAAAGGTAGGAAATGAAGCCAAGTGTGCCTGGAATACATAGTCACATTTGGAAAGAGATTGGAGTGTGCTGGAATGCAGGACAGGTTGAGCTGGAGCTTGGCCTGGAACCCAGTTTGCTCTGGTTGCAACAACAAGGCTTGCAAATCTGCAGATAGTATATCCCAGTCATTGCTTCTATCATCTTCATTCTGAACCTTCATCTGGGAGCTTTCTCCTGGCTCCACCCTGTGGTACTGTGATAAGGCACAAGAAGCTTATCCATAGGGGCTGAGGTGAGGGTGCTCAGAGATGCATCCCTGTCCCATGGTGACCGCAGAGAGGGCACTGCTGGTCTTTGCTCGTTTCTCAAGCACTGATGTCACTTCCTGCTTTATGTACTTCATAAAAGGAAAGCTCTGTGAGACTTGCCCAGAAACCGCCTTCTTCACAGTGACCCTCTCAAATCCAGTACCCCAACTCTCTTAGAAGTTGTGCTGTGAGATGTGGTCAGCTTGTCCTGAGGCTGGCTGGATCACTGTCAGCCCTTATCAGACCATCACTTGCCTTATCACTATTAGGAAACACAGGCAGTGTGTTTAGATGCCTTGTCCAGCATCAACAAAAGTCTCACTAACATAAGTAAAACAAATCCAATATTGAATTGTGGAGTATTCCTTCTACTGAATGAATAGACTTTTGTACTATTGTAAATTTTAAAGAAAGTCCTCAATAGAAACATTGCCAGTCAGGCTGTCTCCATTTCTGTGGTCACTAGGATCCTCTGCCCTGTTATTGTACATTTGGCTCTCCACCAACGAGAGACACCAGAAATACTCAGCCAAATATTTTGGTTTGCACATCACACTTAACATATCACTTTTGGGTCAAAGTATTGTTTGGGATCTATCATTTAATAACAGCCACCAGGACTGCAATCCCAACTGTTTGGAAGGATGAGACAAGAAGATCACAAATTTAAGATCAGACTTAGCTACAGAATGAGCTCCAAGCCAGTCAGGACAACTGAGTGAAACTGTGCCTCAATAATTATAAAGAAGGCTGGGGCTATGAGGGCATGAACCCATACCTACTCTTCTGGATCCTGAAGGAATGTATTCCCAAGACCACGTAGCACCTTCCAGGCCAGGCACTTCTCTGGACAGAGCAGGGTGGCTCAGCCTTACTTAGTGTGGTGATTTGGGATGTAAAGGGGAAGAACCATACTTAGAATGATAATGTCAAGCCCTTAATGTCAACCCCTAGGGACACACAAACATTCAGCATCAATATCCATTTGGCAACAGATTCTGTGAGCTGAACTTTGAAAAGAGAACTTGTGACTGGTGAGATGGGTCAAAGAGGAAAGACACTTGTGAGACACTGACAACCTGAGTTTGGTCCCTGGGACCCATAAGGTGGAAAGAGAGAAATGATTTTATTTTAGTGTGTTTTGGGTGTGAGAAAAAGAAGCTGTGTGTGTGTGTGTGTGTGTGTGTGTGTGTGTGTGTGTGTGTGTGTGTGTGTGTGTGTGTTACCATAACTCTTCCCGCCAGCCTGGTCCCAGTGTCCTACCAATTCCAAATAATACACAGACTCTATTAGTTACAATGCTGTTGACCAATGGTCCAGGGCTTCTCATTGGATAGTTCTGCCTTAAGTATTAACCCATAGGTATTAATATGTATATTTCTATAAGGTCTTATCTTACTGAGGATGCCAGTCTCATTAGTCCTACCATCCCAAGATCACATGATGACTCCCTACACTTGACTACAGTTCCCAGAATCCTCCTTGACTCCTAGTACCACCTATCTTGCTTCCCTTTTGGCCAACAGTGCTTTACTTATCAACCAATAAGACAAACATATACACAGGAGGACTTTCCGTATCGTGTGTGTGTGTGTGTGTGTGTATGCATCTGTGTCTGTGTGCATGCATGTGTGTTTACGTGTACCTGTGAACATGTGTGCAAATTTCTGTGCATAACTACAATACTTTACATCTTGATCTTCAAATTTACCACTCTTTTTCTGTTCTGATCATTTTTACTTTAACAAAACTTCTGACACACAGAAGACTTTTTTCTATAGAGAAAATTATTTCCACTTTTATACACAGTGGCAGAATATTTTCTCCCTTAGGAAAAACTCAAATGACAAAAAAAGCATAAGCCCTCCAAACCCAGAGAATGGCTAAATCCATCAATGTCCCTTCCATTCATGAGTACTATTAATCCAAACCTTAATTAGGGCATCCTATTTATTTCTCTTGGCTTATTTACCTTCATTCAGGGGAATTCATCACAGAACAAGGAATTATATCTCAAAAGTTTTACACACTTGATTAT